TCACGCCACGCCGCATGCCCGTGCCTGTGTCCTCACTGCGGCGCTTAGGCCGTCACGTTCCTCTTACGTCGTCAGGGTGCCTCGCGCGTCTTCACGGCATTTCCTGCGTCATTACGGCGCCTCTGACGTCACGAAGGCGAGTGGCGCAGGCGTGTTTTGGCCTCCCGTGAGCGTCCCAGCTTGCACTGCCCCCCAAAGCAGCATATTTTGCATCAGATCCCCAGAGGCCAAGAAATAAGTGTCCCGGGCGGTGAGCCGACTCAGGCTGCCCACTGATTCCGCCCAAGGACTCTCGGGGGGCGGGGGAGCCGCGTTAGCCATTGGGACCCTTTACTCCGTTCAACTTTACATTAACAGTCGTTTCTCGCAACCGCATGGGCATTAAGGTGACCATACTGTTATATACAAGGGCATTTTCTTCAACCTAAAAGTTCCATCATTCCGCCTTCTGATTTGAAAAGAAAACCTTCTCTGGGGGCCAAAGTATTGTGGGGGCCTGGGCTCAGTGGTTAAGTGGCACTGTCAGCAGCCAGTGGTGAACGACACCTCCAAACACACACACACACACACACACAGCAGATCATCCCCCAGTGTCCTTCCTCCATGCCCTATGGGTTAAGCATTGACCTGCTGACCACACAAAGTGGGTGGTGCCAGTGCACCAGCTGCCTGCGAATGCGCCTCCGGTAAAGATTCCGTCTCGGAAACACTCAGGAGTAACTAAGGGTCCATTGTACCTGGGAACCAACTAGACAGCAGTGGTTTGGTTTGGGTGGGGGGTCATCTCCTTTAGAGAAACTCACCTGAGGAAGCCTGGGCGCAGAGAGTTGGGTCACGACCATATCCCAGTCCCTGGGGCAGTGCACACACGTGGCAGGGACGAAGGAATGCCAGCCAAAGTCGTGTCAACCAGAGGGGAATATTGGAAGCAATTTGGGAGTTCACCAATAGGGGGTGGTGTGAAAAAGCAGCTCAGGCCTATTCCTTGGACTAAATGCAGCCATGAACAAAAGAAAGGAGGAACTCAATGTGCATAAACAGGGTACAATGCCCAAGACAACCGGGGATAAAACCAATCATTGCAGAATGATGAATCACCCACAGCAATAACTGATGATGGAAAGGTTGGACCGGACATTCTGCCAACTTCACCCAGAGCACGTTTCATGCCCAAACTCCTGGACTCCCCACAAGGCCACTCTAAGGGTTCAGGCCCTTGATTTTAGAAGTGAGGGAGAGGAAGCTCAGCTAGGCATGTAACTTGGCAAACCCAGGCCATCTGACTCAAATCTCTTCTCCCTTCTGCCAATTGTGGAACAAGAAATAGCGCAGGCCAATACTGTGTGTACCTGTACCGGATGCAGCTGTGTCTCCAAATGCATGCAGAAAGGTTGAAGTGGCAAGGGTACTTACCACTGCGCAGTGCCCAGAGACTGTGCAGTGGTCACCAGGGACGTGGGCCCTCCTCTTTTGAAACCAGGACTGCAACCATCCAGCATTTATGAAACAAAAGCCTGAGTGTACACAGAGTATATGATTTACAACAAAAGACCTGCCAGGCTAGCAGCCTGCCCAGTGGGAGACGCTCTGGACAGTCATTAGATAGGAGTTACCGGCAGAAAAAGAAAAAAGGAAGCCAGAACTCCCCAGGGAAGCCCACCACCACCTACCCGGCCCAGCAAAAGGCTATCAAACGTTGGCTTTTTAAAAGATTTATTACTTCAATCATGAATTATTTTAAAAAGACATTAAAATTCATTTCTTCTTCCAGTAGAAACGAGACTGAGGGTTGCCCCAGAGATAAAAAGCACCAGGCAAAGGGGTCTCCCACCTCTTTCCCGCCTCTGCCCTGGCACCCAAAAGCCAAGGGACCCCATGGAGAGGCATCTCAGGACAACCTGCTGCCACGGCAGCCTGGGTGTGGCCGGCTCAGTGTCCAGGATGAAGTCAGTTTCAACTGTTGGAAAAAGGCCCCAGACACCAAAAAATGGTGCCTGAGCCAATGGAGGGAGATGGAAACTCCAGCGCTATCCCGTCCGAAGCTCAGGTTTCTTGAGGCCCAGGCGCAGGCGCTTCACCCAGGTGGGTCTGGTCTCGGCCTGGGTGATGAGCCACGGCCGCCTGCCAGCCCACCCTTGACACAGGAAGTCTGCACTGCCCGCCCCCGGGTGTGAAGCCCCTTTGCACCTGGGGAGGGGTAGTGTGAGTCACTGGGAGGACCCAACAGTGAAATGGGGACTCAAGGCTCAACCAAGGGGGGACCAGTGCCCACAGCAGGGGCACAGAGGCCTGTGGGCCAATTGAGAGAAGATTTGGGGACAGTGCTGTGGCCGAGTCCCCTCCGCCGTGGCTCCATCCCTGAGTGTGTCTGCACACACCGGTGTGTTGCGTTGTGTACGCATGCTGATGTGCATGTGCAGGTGCCCACCTGCATGTGGAAATGGCAGGAGGAGAGGGGGAGGCCCGGTGACTTAGGCTTTGTGGCCAGTGGGCTGTCCGCTGTGTGAGTCCTGAAGAAGTGGGGAGCTGGGGAGCTGGTCTGGCTGAGCAACCAGGCTGGGCTGGCTCTTGGCATCTTCCGGGCCCTGTGGAGAGAGGGGGTGCTGGACCTCGGGACAGACTCTCCACGGCCCCACCCACATGCCCAGCCCACCCTAGTCGCTGCCTCCGCACTCCCCCCACAGAGTGGAAACCTCTCCCTGCCCTCCCCATTAGGAGAACCCATTTGTCAAGCTCAGGAGGGCTCAGGAAAAGCTTGGGTGGGGGGGACCTCCGGACTCCTCAAAAACACATTTGGAAAGGGCTCCTTCTGCAGATGAGGAAACTTGAGGCCGGCAGACTTGCCCAATGCAGGCAAGAGACAGGCAGCACAGGAGTCTGGGGCCTGTGGGCTATGCTGCCGACAGCAAAATGGGGACAGCGGGATTGCCAGCTGATGGGAGAACGTGTTGAAAAAGCAGCCGCGGGTGCTGTTGCACCTAGCACGTCAGATTGAACAGGGGTAGACGGCTGGCTGCAGAGCGTGACTCACGGAGGCAAAATTATAGCAACTCTATCGTCCATGGGCACACCTATATACAGATCTAGATGAGAGAGCGAGAAGGAAAGAGGCACGCACGCGCACACACGCACACACACACACACACACAACTCCTTGGGGGGGGGCAGGGGGATATGGTGAAGGGCAGAAGGGAAAGGGTGCGACTCATCAGACACGTTAACAACTAGCCAGGCTTTCAGACACGCCACACAGCTTCCTGCACACGGCAGAGACACGTGCTAATTCCCTATGCATGCCATGCTGCTCGATCAGCACACACAGGTGCTGTACGAGGGTGCGCATGTGGGTAGGTGGGCGGGCGAGGGAAAAACGCGGTGATTTTGCGGGAGGAGGCAGGTTTAATGGATCTGACTCTACGTTTTTCAGTGTTCGCCAAGTAAACTGTAAAGATAACAAACCTCCCGGAGGCCCTGTGTCCACGTCCCTGTCCCAAAAGGAAGAGACCCCTTGCCCCAGTGGCTGCGGTGGGACCCCCCAAAGAAGCTGCAGCTGATAGCTCTGCAGTGGGCCTGCTTCGCTCAGACGGCAGGAACGAAAGCCTCCCCAGCTCTGGGCCTCCCCCACATCCCGCCGCACCAAGGCAGGGCAGCGCCCAAGTCTCCGTGAGGAAATCTCCCAGCCAAGGGAGAGGCCTGTGGAAGATTCCGGTGTCTCTGTGCACAAGCCATGGAACAAGCTCTACGGAGCCGGACAAGCACCGACCCCTCCCCTTTCAAGTGTGTGTGTGCTGGGTGGGGGGCTAGGGGGGCCCAGGAAGAAGGAAGGGAGGACTGAAAACCAGCCCTTTCTCTTCCCTGCGCCCTCTGCCCGAGAGAGAGCAGGCCAGTGTGCCCAGAGGGGCTGGCCTTCTGACTACCAACACTCTTTGGAAGTCCATCTGGGGCCTTTCCTCAGCCCGTGCAGCCCCTATGGTCCTGACCCCTTCTAGGCCACCCCCTGGTGCAGGGCAAGGTGTGGGGCTCCACCAGGGACCAAGTCTGAGACTGCTGCCCTGGGGGGAGGGGAGAGTTCTGGTGGGGTCCTGGTCCCCAGGGCACTGCCTTCCCCAAACACAGATGGCTGTGGCTGGGCATGGGGGTGGGGGCAAAGTCAAACCTTCCCTCCCAACTTAAAACTATCTGGTGGCTTTGGGAGGTTGCGGGGAAGGGGCTGGAGAGAGGGGGCAAGGCACATCACAACCACCACTTCTGCCTGGGCCAAAAGCCACTCTGGCGGCCCACCCCCACCCCCAGTGCCCCGCGTCACCCCATGCCTACACTCTGACAGGGCAGGGGCAGGGAGCTTGTGGGGCGACTGGAGGTCTACTGAGGAGACAGGAAGGAAAGGGAGACACCCCCTCCCGCCTCATGTTAGGGCCAGGTCCCCATCAGTGCCCAGCCGCAATAGAGGGGGGCCCTGCCCCTCCCGCCTCAAGTCTCCCCGGAGTGTGGCTGGCTGGGTGGTGGCTGCCCCTGAGGCCCTACGGACGCAGACAGGCAAATACACCTCCACCCACCACTATTTGATTTCCGTCCCACCCTGGCAGTGGAAGCAAGCTGGCAGCAGCCAACTGGCCCCAAAGAGCAGGGGATGTTGCCTCACTCCAAAGGCTCCCAAGAAAAATGCCTCGCGCCCAAGGCAGGCCCGCCCACAGAAGCTCACGGGGGTGGGGTGGCGTGTGGGTGTGTGCAGCACATTTTCCAGAAACCACAAAATAGCAGCTATTATCAGAGGCCCAGCCTGGCCCCAAATCGTAGGGCCCGTGGCTCTACCTGTCACCTCCCCTGGGAGGATGCCACCCTAGATGCAGCAACTTCTACGACCTCAGACCACAAGAAACACGAAGAGGAACTGAGAGCACCCCCGGGCCCCTTTCTCTTCCTCCTCAGGAAGGGCTGGCGGGTAAAACCAGGTGACTTTCTCATTGCAGACAGCCAAGGGATCGCTGTGGGGGTATCAGTAAGTCCCATGGGATCTTGGGATCGAATCTGCATGGGATAGGTAGGTATATATATATATATATATATATTGTAGCAGAACCCCCCCCTCAAAAAAAATAAAAAGGCTGCCCTTGCTGACACTGCTGTTGTGGGGGGCTGTGGGGTTAGTGCCACAGTCCCAACTCACAGCAGGCTGGCGTCCAAGAGAATGCAGCACCTAGGCCCGTGCCTGCCTCACGGTCATGGCTGTTTGAGCCCCTGGAGGCAGCCTCTGTGTCTGTCCCTCTTGCTGAGTGTCTCTGTCGATGACACTTCGACTCCACTGTTCTAGCTCCTGGTGAGACGCGTAGTGCTCGGGGTCGTAAGAGCAGTCACCAAGACCCGACCAGTGGCCTGCATTTTCCTGGAGCAGCACAGGAAGGAGTCCCAGGTATCGGAAAATGGACTGCAGGTCTACATTGTCCCCGTGAACTACGACCTCTCTGCCATGAGATTGGAAGCAATGGACGGTGCCCGGCTACCATCCCTGGGCAATCCGGCCAAGAACCCAGCACATGCATTCTGGTCAAAAGGAGGAAGATCGGGGAACAGAACTCCCAACTCGGGTGGAAGCAAGACGTAGGAGATCCCTGAAGGAGGGCCCACACACAGTCTTCACACCGAGAGCCAACACTCTCCCACAGTCGTCGTTGCACCAAACAATACTGCAGCTCAACTCACAAGGCGAGCATCTGCCTCCTACAAAGACTTGCCCAAGTGCATCCACCCTGGCATCTCCAGCACTTTGACAGTGTTAAGGGGTGGAGGGAGGCTCCGGGAATGGCGACAGAACAGGGTGGGTGGAGACAGGGATGAAGGTGACAGCAGGTGACGTACGTGACCAAGGTCAATGAATGGTTTATGGAAAATTGTAGACCGATGTGTCTGGTTGTATATATTGCCACCAAAAGTGAATCAAAAAAATTTTTTTTACTAAAAATTCTAATGTCAGTGGGCTTTTTGGTTGTTTTTTTTTCTTTCTTTTTTCTGGTTCCCCTGCCCCACCCCCAAATCTGACCACCTTACCCTCAGGCCAAATCTCAGGTGCTCACTTCATGTCTAAACTCCTTTGTCAAGCATCTCCTAGATTGGGACCACTGACTCTCAAAAGGGGGTCCCTATTAAGCCGTCGTCCACATTAAGAGACCTGAAGGGAGGGCCCATTAAAAGAGAGATTCCTGGCTACCCCCGTCCCATAATTCTATTCCGGGACTTCTAGAGGTCTCCCTAGAGCTCTGCCTTCTTAGCACACTTCCCTAGACGTCAAGTGTACCAGCGGTTTGGGAAGCACCTGGTCTACCTCTCCAACCCTGCCTCGCCAGTACCCGCTGCGATGGAGTCGATGCCGACCCAGACAAGAGCTGACCCCAACACCACCAGGGCCCCTTCGCCTTTCCAATGGCAACAGCGAGTCTCAAACCCACCGCCTTGGAGTGGATTCCGACTCACAGCGACCCCAAAGGGCAGAGTAGAGCTGCTCCTTAGGCCTCCTGAGACGTCAGTCTTGATGGGGGCGGAAAGCCTCATCTTTCCGAGGCCCGGTGATCTGCTTCCCAAAGGCCGCAGCCTTGAAACCCCCCCAGGGCAGTCCTACCCACTTGGTCCTCTAGGTGCCCTCTGAGTGGGAACCCCTTGATGGTAGGCAGTAGGTTTGTTTGGTGGGTAGAATGGAAGGTCTTCATGGCTACTTAAGAGTTCTACTAGAGACCGTTTTGGAACTAAGTAGACCCCACGGCCATGAAGTCGACTTTGACTCCCACGGACCCTGTACAGAGTTTCCAAGACTGTAAATCTTTAGGGGAACAGACAGGCTCCCTCAGAGCAGCCGGTCGGTTCGAACCTTTAACCTTGCCGTGAGCAGCCCAATGCCTTAACCCACGGTGCCACCAGGGAACCTTTCTAATACAACCTTGGCCTACAGAACAAGGGTCCCCGTTCCATCTCCCACCAGGTCTGTAAAGGGTGGTTTCTCGGGGAGAAAAAGAATTATCACTGTGATCTTCGGCTGGGGCCGCTGCAGGCACAGCAGAGACTGTGTGGGGCCCCGGGTGTGGCAGGGAGTCAGGGGAGGGGGCACGCCGTTACCTGGTACCCACCTACAGCCTGGCTTCTTGCAGGACTGTCCCCTTGGGAGGTGCGGTCATCAGGGACTCCGAGTAGGCCTGAGTGGCCTCCTGCTCCTTTGAGCCCTTTTTACTAGTACTCCAAAATAAATAGCACTTCTCCTAGAAGATAACCAAGCTAATTTACAGTCGACATTGAAGCCACGCCGGGCAGCTTTCCTGGCGTTCTTCAGTTTTCAAAGGGCAGAGGGGGGAGGTGGGCAGCGGGCAGATTTTCAGGAGCCCAACAACTGACCGGAAATGGGTGGAGGCTGGCTGAGAGTTAGGAGCTGGGAGTTCGGGCCTGGGCACCTGTGAACGTGAGCAGTGGGGCAGGCCAGGGAGGTGGCCAGCTGGGACCCAGGGGGCTGGCTGTTTGAGATGAACCCAAAACAGAGACAGCGTGGATGGAATCGGTGTGATTTTTTTGGTTGTTTTAAAGAATGACTTCACTAGACTCAAAATCTCTCTGATTGAGTCAGTTCTAACTCCTAGCACCCCTAAGACAGAATTCAAACTGCCCTGTGGGTTTCCTACGGCTGTCAAGAGTGGGAAACCCTCTCTGGAGGTGCGGCTTCCAACTGCCCGACCTATCACCCACGACGCCACCAGGGAAAACTTACTCGACCAGAGGAGAATTTAAAATGACCTGATGGGAGGGTTTATACATGTGTGGGTTTGTTGTTTGTTTGTTTTAAATCAGGATAAAGAAGCTAAGCCTCGCCTACTGCCAATGAGTTACTTCTGACCTTCAGCAACCCTGTAGCTAGTTGGATCTACTCAGAGTAACCTCATGGCTACTGGGGGTATATTTCCATCCTTTGGCTGCAGGAAGGGGTGGGTTCTTACTGAAGGGAGGAGGGCTAGCCTCCTGTGGCTAGCCAGGGTTTTTAGCCTGATTCTCCCAGCCTCCCCGCTCCTCCCTGCATGGTTCTCTCCCTCAGTTGATGGAAGAATGGGGGACTGAGGGGAGAAAAGGACAGAGGACCAGGCTGTCCTGCCTCCTCTACTCTGGCCCAGCCCCTGCTGCCCTCCTATCTAATTCAAAGGGAATTTCCCCAAGTTCACCAGCCCCACCCTGCTCCATCTTGGGGAGCGAGGGGGTTGGTGCTCCACACGGGAATGCCCAGTCGGGCAGATGGACTGACCAGCATCGGGCTCAAATCTAGAGGCAGTGATGTGACCAGAGCCAGGGTTGGCTGGGCCCTGGTAGCCTCATCTCCTGGAAACGTCTTCCCCAGGTGATAGTGGGTTGGGCAGGGAAGTCAGGTTTGAGTTAAGAGCCTAGAAAGGTTTGTGATTACCGTACCTCAGCAAGTAAGCCAGCCCAGCCAGCAGGCCAGCCAGTGCGCAAGCTCCCTCCAGAAAGGGGGACAGAGAAGAGCAGAAAAGGCTTGAAGATGGTTCAAAGACAAGCGGGGAGCTGCCCAGTGCTGAGGCCACCCTTGGAAGGCCTTGCTGCTGTTCCGGGTGCCCAGGGCGGGGGGTGGGAGGCTGCAGTGGCTTTCTGGTCCTGGCATTTGACATTGGCCACTGCATCCCTAGCACTGTGGCCCCCTGATCACAGCCCTTACCATCCTGAGACTGCATCCGTCTGCTTAAAAGTCTGTGTGTGTCCACTGGTGTCTGGACCTCGTGTCCTGGTCACTTCTAGTGCGCCTACATTTTGCACAGTGCCTCACCAAAATAAAAATTTCCCGCCAGGGGAGCATTTTCCCCGAGACTGGAGGGCCCTAAATCAAGAAGGGGAACTGGCCAGCTCCCCATCTCCTTCCGGCTCTGGAGGGTGGTTCCTCCCCACAGACTTGGTCATCAGCACTCTTCTCCAGCTTCACCCCTCCCAGAATAAGTTGCCCCCGGCCCCGGACTCCTCTGTTGCCTAGGTCTCCCGGCTCCACCCTGCCCAGTCCTGGATGGTTCTCCATACAGCCACTACTCTGCAGAAACATTTGGGTCTCTCCTGAAATCTGTTCCAAGCTCCAAACCCTGGAGTACAGGACCTGGCAGGCCCTGCCCATCCTCCTCCAAGACACCAACCCCAGCTCAGCAGTTCTCAACCTGTGGGTCGCGACCCCTTGGGGGGGGGGGTTGTCTAACAACCAACCCTTTCATAGGGGTCGCCCGATTCACCACAGTAACAAAATGACAGTGATGAAGTAGCAATGAAAATAATGTTATGGTTGGGGGGTCACCACCACACGAGGAACTGTATGAAAGGGTCGCAGCATGAGGAAGGTTGAGAACCACTGCCCTAGCCCTCTCTCATCTTCCAGGGTGCAGTAACAGCAGCACCACCTCAGGGCCTTTGCACTGGCCATACCTACGGCCGCATCACTCTTTCCATGGCTTCTCCTCTCTGAGCTTAAACCTCCCAACACGCCCGCCTGCGCCCACTTCTCTGTGGGCACTGTGCTGCCCGGTGAGCTTGCTACAGCCCCAGCTGGCTATTGAGACCTTGGGACCGGGCTAGTCCGGATCAAGACAAGCAGCAAAGGTAAAACACAAACCAGACTTCAAAACCGTCCTACCCAAACTTGCAAAAATACTTTACGCACATTTGCAGTTATTGTTATTTTTTAAATATCCATCCGCCCTGCAATGAATGAATGGGTAATATCTGGGATCCATTTGGGTAAAATGAGCTATGTGATTACAATTAACGTCACGCATCTCTCAAAACTGACAACCGAGCGTTTGGCTCGGGCTGAGCACCGTGCGTCTATGGGCAACGCTCGCTCTGGCCCATCCTGGCCTAGAACCTGTGCTGTATATGCAATGATGCTTCCTTGCTACTTGCTCTCTGCTCATCGGTCTCCCCACTAGCCTGCCCTTCCCCACCCCTACCCCCAGCAGGTACTGGCTCTCCATAGGCACACAGACCAGTGCCAGCCCTCAGTCTCCAAGGCCAGCCCAGGGCAGGCAGAGAAAAGGTTGAGCAGGAAGCCAGAGGAGACTCCCCAAAGGGGCGCTACAGAGAAGGCGTGGCAGCCCGGAAAGCGGATCTACGCCCCCCCCCTCCCCCTCTCCCGGTCAGCCATCGAAGGCCCACCTACCTGGCTCCGGAGCTGGTAGAGCACGGGGACGAGCAGCAGGGCGCAGCCCAGCGCCAGGAGCACGTACTGGCCGTAGTGCAGCACCATGGGCAGCAGCACCAGCTGCATGTAGAAGGTGTGCAGGGGCTCGCCCTCCATTGCGCCACGCTGGAGGGGGAGGCGGGAAGACCGACCGGTGGGGATGGGGCCCCGCCCTCACACGGGCCCCATCTCAACTGCACCGGCAGCTGCCGGTGATGGAGACCGCCGCGCCTCTCCCTGGGGCAACGCGAAGACTACATTCCCCACAATCCCTTGCAGTTGGGCAGGACCACTGGTCTGTAGCTCTGGCCAACGGGATACAGGCAGTGATGCTAGGCCTTCCACACCTGGTCCATCAATCCCTCCCGCTGAATGCGGATGGAGGCGGGGGTGGGGATGGGGGTGTCTGAGCGTACGCTGGGGGGCGGGCCGGGGCAGGGTCTGGACCTCCTTGTCATCAGCCCACAGCAGCAGGTCAGGCTAGCATGAAGGGGATTTGGGGCGGCTGCCCTTTGGCTCGCCCAGACTGCAGTGGTGGAGCGGCTGTTTGTTAGGCTGCTAACCACAAACCGAGCAGTTCGAAACCGCCTGCCGCTCTGAGGGAGGAAGAGGAGGCTCTCCACTCCTGTACAGAATTATCATCTCGGACACCCACGGGGGCAGTTCTACCCCGACATATAGGGTCCCTGTATAGGAGAAGTTCAAGTGAAAAGCTGACACTTTGAAAGCCTGCTCCTCCCCCTCACCTTCACCGACCTAATGACCTTCTGTACCCTAGACCAGCGGCTTCCCCGGTTCGTCTGTCCCAAACCCAGTAATCCTTCCAACTAAGGGGGTCAAATGACAAAGTGCCGGGGCCTCACAGCCCACTGCCTCCTCCTCAGGTATCCCACCGGCCAGGAGGTACCCAGAGGAGGGACCGGGGCCTGCCTTACCTCTTCAAACCACACCAGGGGCATGACCACGGGATTGATGTTCCCCGTTTGTCTGGAAATGAGAGAGACCACACACACCGCGTTAGGCGTTACATAGCTGTGGGCATGGTGGGGTCCCCTCTGGGATCAGGAGGGATCGGGCACTGCGACTGTTTGATGGGGGAGAGCAGCCCTGGCGGCCAAGCTGGCTGACCTCTGGGCTGCCAATGTCAAGGCCTGCGAGGGAAAGGCGAGGTGGCCTTGGGCTCAGGGTCTCGGAAACCCCGTGGAGCCGGTGTGCTCTGTCCTGCAGCGTGGCTGTGGGTCAGAATGGGCTCCTCCCTGACAGAGGGTTCCATGTGGGGATCCGATGGGTGAGGGTACAGGAACCACACACGGCTGCAGTGTTGGTAGCAGACACCTGGGCAGACACACACCTTGGCAGCAGAGACTGCCCACCTACCTCCATCCTTCTTCCGCCTAAAGTTCTCTGCGGGGTCTGTGCCAGCCAGCCTCACACCACCCCTAGCCCCCTTGAGCGAGGAGCAGGAGCTTGGGAAGGCTGTGTGAGCAAGGTGGGCAAACCACATCTTTGCCTCATCCTCCCCCCACCCGCAGCCCACCTGCCTTCCTTTCCTAGGTTACCTGCCTGGCTCCAGTGGCATCCAAGTTGGCAGACTGAGCGCTGAGTGAAGCGCCTGAGTCAGAGCCTGGGCTGCAAGCCCCCCAGCCCCGAGTCATGGTGTTTCACGGCCCTGGGAAGCCTGGAGTGCTTCCCATAGCAGCCTCACACACAGAACAAAAGGCACCGAGTGGGAGAGAGAGAACGGAGCTTGGCAAAGCGGGATCCTCGCCAGCCAAGGGGCGGCCTGTCTACAAAGCTGGGTAAACACGCACATTCCTGCAACCCAAGCAGCGTCCCAGGGGAAGGTGTGTGTTGTTTTTTCGTGGAATGATCTCAGACATGCCAACAAGTACACGGGCAGCCAGACTAACTAACAAGCTGTCCTGGTAGATAAGTAGTGAAAATGCTCCTTAGGAGCAAGGATGGCAAGATGGGCCGGTGGCGGGGGGAGGGGGGGCGGTGTCTCACGTACTTTGGAGGGACAAGTGCGAGGAGCAGGACATCAGGCTTGGTGAAATAGGGGGTTGGTGACAAAAAAAGAAGACCCTCAACAAGATGGATTGGCACAGCAGGCACAACCATGGGCTCAACTGTAGCCACGGGCTGTGGAGAATGTGCAGCACCGGGCCTTGTTTCCATCGGATGCACATGGGGCTGCCAGGAGCCCTAACAAGTACAGTTGCTGATAGAACAAACCAGGGTGCCTCCAGCATAAGCCTGTCCAAATGTGATGTCGTGACAGGTCCCCGGAGAAGGGGTGAGGCGTTCAGAACCCGAGTGCCGTGTGGGTGGGCGGGAATGGGAGCTGGGACAAAGCCTGGAAGTTCTTGGAAAGTTAGACATGGAGTGACCACACGACCAGCAATTCCACTCCTAAGCACATGCCCCGGAGAAATGGAAACAGGTATTCCAACAAAAACACCTGGGGGAATGTTCCTGGAAGCACCATTCACACTAGCCCGATGGTGGGGACAACACAAGTGTCTGTCACCTGGTGACTGGATAGACAGAACATGGTCCATCAAGATAATGGATAATGGATGGAATTCAGCCAAGTTCTGATCACCTGCTACAGCGTGGATCCACCTGGGGAGCTAATCCTATAAGGACATATGCTGGATGAGTCTACTTAACAGGAAATGCCCAGAGCAAGCAATTCCACGGAGACTGGAAGGAGACCGATGGTTGCCAGGAACTGAGGGGTGGAGAGTACTGTGGATTGAGTGGTGTCCCGACAAAATATGGGTCCACTTAACTAGGTCATGGTGCTCAGTATTCGGTAATTATCCTCTTTGGGGATCTGATGTAATTATCTTCTTCTACTTGTGTGATCTGAATTGATCGTCCTACCTGTTATAAATCCTCTCCCTTATGATGGGAGTGAGGCAGGATTACAGGCAGTTATGACAGGAGGCAGGATGCCATCCACAGGATGGGGTTGTACCCTGAGTCAATCTCTTTTGAGATAGGAAAGAGATTGAGCCACGGAGCAGAGGTGGAGAGGCCTAACTACTACCAAGAAAGGAGAGCTGAGAGTGGAGGAGTCCTTTGAAGCTGGCGTCTCTGTGCTGAGAACCTCCTAGACCCAGGGGAAGATTAATGCCAAGACACATGGAGATCTCCAGGGAATGCCAGGCCTGCCGGTGACAAAGACCGTCCCCCAGAGCTGACAAAGAGAGAGAAAGCCCTGCCGTAAAACTGGCACCCCGAATTTGGACTTCCAGCCCCCTGATCTATGAAAGAACAAACTTCTGTTAGTGAACGCTGCCCAGGTGTGGCATTTCTGTCACTTGTGCTCGAGAGCACAACAGGGGTGACTGATGCTTGGCACAGGGATTCGGTTGGGGGCGATGAAACTGTTGGGGGACCAGATAGTGATGGTGGTGGCACCACCTGGTCACCGTGTACTAGATGACACTAAATTTTATGGTATACCACTTCTCTCTCAATGAAGGTGGGCTTTTAAAAAACAGGTTTGAATCAAAACTTTAAGAATCCCTCTTGCCCAGTGAAGTCAGGCTTTGGCACGCTGTTTGGTAAGCTTCCACATTCAAATACTTGCTTTTGCTAGGCTTTCATTTTTGCCACTCTCTTGGGCCGGGGGATAGCTTGAGGTGAAGATGTCAGCTCATTTTGGGGAGAAAAAAATGTCAGGACAGAAGAGGGGGTTCTAGGGAAGGGCTCCGAGCTAAGACTCCCAGTGGGGAAGCTGGGCTGGGTCCACGTTCTCTGGCCCATCTCCCTCTGCCCTGCCCTCAGTCCTGGGGTTGGGGTAGGGTCTTGACCATGCGAAGCCCCACATCCCTGAACTCCAACGAGCACCCGGCCCAGCGCCCAGGTGCCACTCACCCGATGCCCTTGACTGCCTTCATGAAGAGGCTCAGCTGCAGCTTCACAGAGCAGTTCATGGGGATCCCAGTCACCTGTGGCAGCACATGCAAGGAGGGGACTGCCGTCAGATTCCTACCCCCCTTCAAGGCAAGGCTGGCACCCTGTGCCAGAGCCTGTGCGCGCCCACGGCGTGGTTGATGCTGGACACTGCACGGAGGACGACGCGCACTGGTACTCACTGCCTCTGCTGTCGTCTCCCCCAGCTTAAGGAGCGGAAAATAGTGCTCATGGCAGGCATCCGTCTGTGCTCAGGACTAATGCCCACCAGGCAACCCACGGCTGCCACAGTGCCCACATCCCCAAGAGAAACCCAGGAGGCCGCTTCCTCTGTCTGCTGGCCTGGACAGGAGCCTGCTGGTGGCAGAACAGATGTCCCTACCTCCTGGGGCTTCGGCTGACCTTCAGCCTTTTGGGATCAGAGGAGACAGGGGCACTGAACTCTGTCTCCAGGCATCGCAGGAGGGGAGTATGTTCCAGAGGTGGGCGGGCCTCCAGAAGCCAACAAAGAGAGAGAGGCAGAAACTTAGAGACTCAAAGGGCAGAAGATGGTGGTGGGCGCAGTCAGGACAAGGGGTCTGGTCAGTGCTAAAAAAGACTGGGACGGAATAGTGTCTGGGGTCTTGAAGGCTTGTATTCAAACAAGCAGCCACGTCCAAGGGAGGAGTCAACTAAGTCCGCATGGAAGAATCACATCAGTTTGTGTGACCCAACAATGGCAAGTGCAAAAGTCAAATATGATGAACGGAAAAGTGTCAGAGTTTAAATCGTGCACACCCGATTTGTGGAAGGCTGCGGAGGGCAGTGGGAGCCCCAAGCCCCATCTGTAGAGTGTGTAGTCGGATACGAGGGGGTACCCCCTCAAAATCGGAATTGTGCTGGGCGGAGTGGATCTTTTCGTGCACATTTTGTCTCACTAGGCGAGCATCCAGCAACTCACCTGAGTTAGTGCACCCAGTGGTGTCGCCTGGTAAGGTTCTCTCCGGTCACAGTGAATGTTTTTATCAAAGCTGTTTCACTCAAACCTCTGTTTTTTTTTTTGTGAAGGCCAAATTAAGAGACCAGTGTGTGGCTGTGAAATTTTGTTTCCTGCTGGGAAAAAATGCCGCAGAAGCTGTGTGAGGTTGAACACAGCTTACAAGGGCAGCACTATGGGAAAAACTCAAGTGGACGAGTGGTTTTCTTGTTTCAAAAAAATGTCGATTGATGACAAACTTTAATCTGGACGTCCATCAACTTGATCAGAAGAAAATGTCCACTCATGATGCATTTGGAGTTTGTTCCCCCAGGTCAGGCCGTTAATCAAGCTTTCTATTTAGAGGTTCTGAAAAGACTGTGTAACAGTGTGCGACAGAAAAGGCCTGATTCGTGACAGACAGGGGGCTGGTTTTGCCACCACGACAATGCACCTGCTCATGCAGACATCTCAGTGCACCGGTTTTTGGTTAAAAAAAAATGCATGCCTCTCTTGCCCCAGGCACCTGACTCACCTGACCTCGCTCTGTGTGGCTTTTTTGTTTCCTCAAATGCAGAGGGACATGAAAGGACAGTGATTTGATGATGTAGAAGAGGCGAAGAAAAAAAACGAGGGAGCCATCCAAACAGATGAGTTTGAAAAATGTTTCCAAGAATGGAATCACAGATTTGACAAATGTACTAAGTGTCATGGAGAGTACTTTGAAGGTGATATGGTTGTTCCGTAAAAAAATTTAAATGCCGAACTTTGAAAAAAAATCCTTTTTTGGGGGGGGAGGTGTCTTGTTTATCATTGTAATCCTGATTAGGCTGGATAAAACTTTATACTTGGCCAGTTGACTGCCTGCTAGACCCAACCTCAATGTGTTCTACATGCAAGGATCTCTTGCTTGTTCCTGGCTTTTAAAATATTGACCGAGGTCTTTTCTTTCCTGAGCATTGTGGTGTTTTTATCTTCATATTACCATTGCTTGATCCTTACCACTTCATTTCTTTTTCGTTCTTTATTGTTTCTCTTGGGTTTACCAGTTTATGAAGCACAGAAGGAGTGGATGCATAGAGATAGTAACTGGTGCGAGGATTGGTAGGGGCACACTGGGGCGAAACAGTAAGGGGGTGCAATAGAGCAGCAAGGGGAGCAAAGCAATGATGTACCGGGGAATACCAAATATAGACTTTCGGGCCAGGGCGTGGCACCCCATCAGACTCGACTGGAAAACACTCCTAATGGTTAATAAACAGACCTGGAACTATTTATAGGTTTCTCTCTTTTTGGGGGGTCGTTGCTGTTGTAGTTTTGTTTTCTTTTGCTCTGTCTTGTTTCTGCGCTTATTATTGTCTCTGCATGTCTATCTAGATAAGATGGGCGGGATAAACAGTCCAGAGAAAACAACGGGATCGACAGTTCTGGGGGAACATGGGAGTGGGTGTTAACAAACCCAGGGACAAGGGAACAACAAACGATCTAAAATTGGTGGCGAGGAGGGCGTAGGATGCCTGGTAGGGCATAGGATGCCTTGATCAAGGGCAATGTAACCAAGAGGAATTACTGAAACCCAAATGAAGGCTGAACATAATAGTAAGACAAGAGGAAAGTAAAAGGAAATAGAGAAACAGTGGAGGCATTTATAGAGGTCTAAATACAGGCATGTACATATGTAAAGATATATATAATGAGGGAAATAGATCTATGTACATATATTTACATGTTAAGTATTAAGGTGGCAGAAGGACATTGGGCCTCTACTCAAGTACTCCCTCAATGCAAGAACACTTTGTTCTAACAACCTGGCATTCCATGAGGCTCTCCTTCCCGACATGATCGCTGAAGACAAAACGGGTGCATAAGTAAATGTGGTGAAGAAAGCTGATGGTGCCCGGCTATCAAAAGATATAGAGTCTGGGGCCTTAAATAAGTGGCCATCTAGGTGAGAAGCAATAAAGTCCACATGGAAGAAGCACACCAGCCTGTGTGATCATGAGGTGTCAATGGGATCAGGTATCAGGCATCAAAGACCCAGAACAAAAAATCATATCATTGTGAATGAGAGGGAAGGCAGAGTGGAGACCCAAAGCCCATCTGTAGACAA